TTACAAAGTGACAATCAGCGTATTCATTTACATTTCATTTATCCTTATGTTACTTTTGTTCAAACAAACGCCCGACTGCCTCCGTAAACCCCTATTGCGAAATGTCGGAGTTGACAGAGATAGCCGCCATCTTGGTCCCGCTTCAGATTTTCAAATGTCAATATCTAGAATTTTGATTTATCAATATTCAAATAAATTATGTAGTAATGATCAATAGAAAGGTTTCTATTAACATTCCAAAAATAGATAAAAAATATTGAAAAACAAAAAAGTTAGAAAATACGACCTTTTTTTATCCGCATCTTCTTACAACAGAAAGTATTGACGACGAACAAAATGTCGCGTCCTGGATAGTATCTATCACGATCTTTGAAGCACAAATGAAATCATTAAAACGTGGTTGGGTTAGAAGGATATTTAGTAATACAAAAGCAAGATGGAGAAGTACAATTCAATATTATCTGAAGGATATAGTATTAAATGACTTTATAATTAGCAGAGGTTGCTTTAATAACCTATATACAGATTTAACATTACCACAGTTTTACAGAGAAATTTTTGAAACATGGACACAACTAAGATATAAAATTTTTAAAGAAGCTCTTTGATTCAATGATAAATTTAAAATCAATAATGAAATTGTGTTCTGGAAAAAATGGTACACAAAAGGAATCTTATATATTGGAGATGTTTTAGGTGATATTTATGATTTTTTAAGTCATGAGGAATTAGGTAAACAGTATGACTTAAATGTATCTTTTTTTGATTACTTTTGTTTAAGGAATGCCATTCCATATCATTGGCGAAAATACTTAAGGCAAAACAAAAAAGTTTTAATCAATAGAGATTCTTTGATCTTAAGATTCAATGATAAAATAAGTCCATTGTCAAAATTATCTTGTAAAGACTTTTACTGGATTATAATAGAAAGTCTAAATGAAGTACCAACATGTGTACAAAAATGGGAGAAAATATTTAACACAAACTTTTCACCTGCAGACTTAGAAAAAAATTTATGCTACCTTTTGTGTGTTCTAATGAAACATCATTACAGTCTTTTCAATATAAGCTAACTCATAGATTTTTATCACATAATAAACTACTTTTTCAAATGAAAATTCAAACTTCAGCACAATGTTTATTTTGTAAAAAGGAAGATACTTTAGAACACAAATTTTATTATTGCACTTGTATTGCAACTTTTTGGAACCATTTTCTAACATGGTGGAATGATCTACATATATTTAATGTAGAAAATCTTTCTTGTAAAAATGTTATTTTAGGTCTATATGAGAGAAAATGTGACTGTTTGAATTACTGCATTTTGCTCGCAAAGTCATATATACATTCAGTGACAGTATCTAATTTGGATGTCATTAGAAAAGTAAATGTACCAGAGTTTCACAACTTTTTAAATATGTTGAAAAAGAAATTACTGCTTAAAAAAGAAGTGTATTGCTCAAATAATGATTCAGATAATTTTAATGAAATCTGGCAACCAATATTAGATATATTATAATAATTATCTTATATTTTATCATATTTTTTATATACCATGCTATTAAATTAAGTGTTAAATTCCCCTGTAATAGATTTCTTTGTTAAAACAATGAACAGATAATTTGTACAAATTTATGTAGATAGTAAGCTCCACAATAGTTTTTAATGATTTATAAATCAGAAACATTGTCCTAAAAGATGTAGATAGATGTTATTGTCTATAGTTGAATTTGTTGCATGCTTTTTTATTTTATAAATTTGTATATGAAGAAAGAGCCAATAAAAATGAAAAAAAAATCTATCACGATCTATAATCCCTGAAAGTTTCATGTTGATATCTTTTACCGTTTTTTAGTTTAACCGTGGACAAAATGTCATTTTAATTTCAGAAAATTTTCCGTAACTTGGCACCGGAAGTGAGTCTCCAAAAAAACGCTCAGATAGATCAAGTTCACGTTACGACACATTTGTCCTGAAAATTTCATGTATTTTCTTCGAGAAATCGCGTGCACAAAATTTTGGGGAAAAAAATGATAAAAAGAATAATAGTAATAAGAAACAGTAGAATTACTATAAGGTCTAATGAATAGTTGAATTTTGGAAAATTTATCAATTGTCTACATACTGTCACTGTTTACATGCACAGTGCACATGTATCGATCGCCGTCAGAACAAAAATGATCGATTCTGCAATCCACTACTGTAGTGGAATAAAGGGGCGGGGCTAACTGGCGGCCAGATTAAAGCGGGATCTGCTTCACGCATCAGTGAAAGCTATGTGCCGTGGGATGGCCTCCAATTCCTGAAGATACACAGTCACGGGCAATAACGGGTGTTTTACAGTAGTAGGCCATGGTACCTAAATTGTTGTACATGTCTGCATATTTAGGCTATTTTAAAAAGTTTCTTTGATGCTTGTAACACGACCAAAACATATATTCAAGTAATCAGCTATCACTTTTAGTATTCGATCGAGTACCCGGTAAACGAGTCATTGACATCCCAAATTTATTGAGTTTTTCGATAAAGATTGTTTATGATTTTACTCATAAAGATCTTTGTAGTTAACTGTTAACTATTAACTGATAGGGTGGTATAATTGCCTGTGGATGCATTTGATTAAAATCTGAGAATCTTAGTACTGGATTTAGTGCAAGGGCGTATACTCAGAGAATCACATTAAGCCTGAAAATATAAGCTATACAAATAGAAAGTTTTTCTTGAAAAGTGTCCTGAACATGTAAAACTGAAAACAAGTTGATAACATGTTTTTTCTATACTTCAAGTTATTGACGAATGTAAATTTCCCTTACAGACTTTCATGAATTAATATGATTTAAACAATGAAAGAATATAAATATATAAATGTTTAAATCAAGTTTATTTATTTCTTTCACTATCTGTGTTATCTTCTCGCCACAGTTATACAAATTCATTTGCTTCAAATAAAAATATGTTGCAGCTTGTATAGATATAGATTCAAACATAATCATGTCACATCACATTGTGTTTGCTTTTCAATCTTTGTCTTATCCAGTGTTTGGTACTTAAATTTGATAAGTATTCAAAGATATATATATATATATATATATATATATATATATATATATATATATATATATATATATATATATATATATATATATATATATATATATATATATATATATATATATATATATAGTTATCTAATTTTGATAAAAAAACAATAAAAGTGTTTTCTTAATGTCTTATCGAGCCATCGAGTTGATGGGACATTGTTAAAACTACAACATAATAAGAATCACGTAAAAAAAAACGAATAGTTTGATTTAAGAAAATATATACAAATGTAAGAGGTCATTTAAAACCGACCATTTTTTAACATTTCATTGGGTTCTTCGATAAAGATAATTCATGATTTCATTCATAAAAATCTATAAAAGTCATACAAAAAGTGCGTTTAGTTCTGGATTATTTCTTCCACGTTGTCATGTCAATCATGAAAAGCATAGATTTAAAACAAATCCTCTATGAAGTTCTCTCGTAGTTGAATTGTGCAAGAACTGTGTTGGGCCTTATTATCTTGCAAAACAAAATGGCAGTATAAATAGCCGACATTTTCGATTATCTCAATTTCAGGGCCAGGAAGGCTTTAGCAGCAATTATATTGAATGTTTTGTTGTAGAAACATTGAAAGAATATATTAGTAACACACGTTTTGAAATGTTTTGATATGACAATTTAAAAAAAAATGGAGAAAGAAAACGAGAAACAGCGCACAACTTTTTCAATGGGTGGCACTGTGCATGTAGCTCTCCGGTCTATCAATATATTTTTTTCAGAGAGCTACAATTCTGCAGATATCCTTAGTTATATTTGGTATGGCCGATTTCTAAAACGAGGTAACCTTAAGGAATCCCTAATGGAATTTATATCTTAATTTGACATATCTGTACGCACCTTTCATTTACTTTATCTTAGCCGTAAGGTAGGATTCTTATCTGGTTTCTGAGTAGATGAAATACTCAATGTATATTTGCTTATATGTCATATATTTAGGTGAATAGATTAAAAAGAACATATTTCTTTTCCTCATCACAATTGTACAACTTTAAATAGAAATGGTCAATTGTGTTTGAAAATTAGCTGGGACTATATATTTGGCGGGATGATGGAGTATGAAAATATCTTCTATTCTACCTCTAAAAATTATTATAGAACTACGAATTTGGTTATAATTTTTACACAGGCAAAGACTAGAAGAATCTTTCAAATGTTAGCTAAATTAAAAAAAAAGAAGAAAAAGATTTTAAAATATATCAAATAAATATAAATTTCCAAAAAATCATAGGAAGTATTAGACTCTTTTACTAAACAGTAAAATCTTTTTGTTTTTGTATCAATTTGTATCTCTTTATGACTGTTTTGCCATGTTTGAAAATAATAAAAAATCAATTTTGGGTGCATATAAAAATAACTTAAATTTACTAAAAATTTAAGAAAAATAAAAAAAAAATCGGATTAGGAAAAATCTTTTTTTGTTAAAATATTTGTGTCAATTTGGTAATATCGTCTTATAGCCCCTAAATGGTAAGATCTTTTTATGCAAAAAGAAAAAAAAATTATGAAATACAAGACACCATCTCATGATTGGATGCAGTTATTTCTATTCTTAATGACCAGGGGAAAGGTTATGATCTTGACCTGACATTTACTCTAATATATAACGGTCAAAACTAATCTAACTAATACCATCACTTAGTAATATTGTCCTCATGATTCTGTGAAAATTTCATTAACTTTTAGACACGAGAAATACAATTTTGATTGTGAAGAATCCTACCTTAAGAATGTTATGAAAAGGGGAAAATATATTATTGAAATGTATGAAATTTGAAAGACCTTAAAAGGAGCAGTTTCAACTTTTCAATTATTTCAAACTACGGCTAGATTTGAATTGAAACCCTTAATTGTTATCATTCGTTTTTGAGTAAGTATTTTTATGACTTTTTTGTGCTTCCTTCGTCGAGATTATATATGTCTTATATCATTGTGCATTCAGATGTATTTCAAAAGTTTAACAATCAAAGTCACTCAGTCTTAATCGAAAAAATCATCAGGAATGTTATCACCAATCCCTTCCATCTGATTCAGATAATCAATTCCAAGGCTAACAATTTTCCATAGAGTACAAAGGGAAATACCGTCCTTTACTGCATCTGGTACCCCTTCAATGACATAATTAGCGGTTGGAAAAATATTCCCCGGTGAAAGTTTAAGAGAGTTAGAGACAAATTTACAAAGTTTCTGTACAATTGAATACCGGAACATGTCACCAACGTCATCTGCATTTGGAAGAATTTTGTCTATTGCTGTTATAAGAACGCATTGAGGTAGGTCTACAAAGTGCAAAAAAAATAATAATCAGAAAATAGGAAACGTTAATAGAAAAGTTACATAAATAAATAATATATAAATGGTGCCTGTTTTGTAGGGTAACATTTGAAATTGAGACCCCAAGGAAAACCATTGTCAACCGACGCGTCAGCGGAGGTTGACAATGGTTTTCCGAGGGGTGTCAATTTCAAATGTTACCCTACAAAACAGGCACCATCTATTTTATTATACTGAATGTCTTATTGATTTAGGACGTCAGCAAAAAAAAAAAACGTCGATCGTCTTTACGTTCATGTATAGAAAGCTTTCACACTCACCGGTTCACTAATCTCCTTATTGTTTGTTTGATACTCGAATTCGAGTCATTTATCATATAAAGTTTCGTTATTTCTGGCTCGCAAGCATGTTTCCTACACTCGCAAGCATGTATCGTCTGTCGTTTGTTGTTTTCAAGTAAGCTATATCGGACGCAAGCTTTTATTGACGTCAAGTTAATTCCGGTTCCTTCAAACGCGCAACTGACGATTTGAGAATTCTACGGTGAACCGTACGCGCATAACTTAAACGCATGAGGCATTACCGTTGTGTTACCCGTTGTCACGTGTGTTTCTAAGGCTCAGGGTAATCGAACGGATTGTTACCTGCGTCTAAACCAATCAGATTTTAGTATTTAACATGAAAGTATAATAATATAATTTAGTACTTCTTTGAGCTACTGTCTCCCGAATGCCAGCTATTTCCCCCAGGCAAGGATCTTTATCATCCATGCTTTTATCCGCCCTTACTACATAAACAACACAGTGCATCTCATCTCCTATCTTAGGTGTTTCTCTTTGACTTTTTTTTTCAGCTTTCATATCAGACAAGGATGTCATCTGTAACATATTTTTTAAATATTGTTATCATTTACAATTAAGCGTTTCAATGACAATTTCTTTTTAATATGGATAATATTGATATCCGCTGAGGGATTGAAAAGTTTCACAGCCGAATTGATAAAAAGCACAATGAAACATCTCCGTTTTTTAATTTGGTCTCTTTTTCGGCAAAGATGCATGTATTTATTTAGTAAGGATTTGTGTTCATTAAAAGCATTGTGCAAAGCATATACTTTTAAAATATGGAAAACCAAATGCATCTGAGTAACCAAGTGGCGATTTTCGGATATTCTATTTGTATATTCAAAGAAATCTCAAGTTACCTGAACAAATTACAAACCACAGGCTCTAGGCATAATATTACTGTTCGACGCTATTTTTGAAAAGCAAATATGATTCAATTATATGATATGAAAACTAACAAAACCGATAATTGATGCATTCCGAAGCAAAACATACAATGTACAACATCTATTTACACTTTTCCAAAAGTTGTCTAAGATTAGATTAGTGTAAATAATAGAACATTATCATAATTTACAGTAACTGTCTTTAACATATTATTGTCTCCATACTTATATTTGAAACTCATATTTCACTATATTCCGAAATATATTTGGATCATTTTCCAATTGAAATTTGTGATCAATCTACAATTGAATAAATATACAATGAGAAAATTATCTCGACTTTGTTGATTAAGAACCATTTTGATAAACATTTTCGGTTTTTAAATAAAATTGCTGATTCTCGGCATTTCACATTCTAACTACTTTAATGACATTTTCGTTTTCATGGGCCTTATTTGGATGAACCTGATTTGTTTTGAATAGACTTTTTTCTTTGGTATGGTTTGATTCAAATAAACAACGTAACTTTACATCGAAACTCACTTTTGCGTTTGGTTTCACGTAACCATCGATTATATAATTCATTTCTTCTTTTCCAACTACTTCGGTACCTTCTTTCAATATACCCCTGGTATCAAAAAGGCGAATAGGTATTACATCTCCTCCTTTTCTTCTCAAGGGTGCTAGCTTAAGCTAAATATGCAGAGAAAAAACTATAATTAACTATAGTTTATTATAGTTAACTATAGTTAATCAAAGTGTCAAAAATTCGTCAAAGGTTTTCAAAGTATCAAAGTTCTCGCCAAAGTTTTTCAAAGTGTCAAAGTTTTCGACAAAGTTTTTCAAAGAGTTAAAGTTTTCGATAAAGTTTTTCAAAATATCAAAGTTTTCGATAAAGTGTTTCAAAGTTTTAAAGTTTTCAATGAAGTTTATCAAAGTCTTAAAGATTTAGATCAAGTTTTTATGTCAAAGTTTTGGATGAAGTTTTTTAAAGTTGCAAAGTTTTCAACAAATTATATCAAAGTTTTCGATAAAGATTTTGAAAGTGTCTAAGTTTTGATGATTTTTTTTTTTCATATGAAGGGTCAAAGTTTTTAAAGTATCAACGTTTTCGATAAAGTTTTTCAAAGTCTTTAAGATTTAGATTAAGTTTTTGTGTCAAAGTTTTTGATGAAGTTTTTTAAAGTTGCAAAGTTTTCACCCAATTATATCAAAGTTTTTCGATAAAGTTTTTGAAAGTGTCAAAGTTTTCGATAATTTTTTTTTCAAAGAGTCAAATCTGTCAAAGTATCAAAGTTTTCAAAAAAGTTTTTTAAAGTGTCGAAGTTTTCAATAAAGTTTCTCAAAGTTTGAAAGTTATCACTATAGTAAAGCAAAGTTTGCAAAGTGTCAAAGTTATAAGTATAGTTGACTATAGTTAACTTTAGTAAACTATAGTTTACTGTAGTATTTTTTGTTAGGGATTCTCCTAATCTAGGTTTTTAATTTTTTGAATTGACCTTTACTCCAGATTTATCTTAAGGAAAATGCCTTTCTGTGTGGTACAGATGTTAGAACGTTTTCTCTACGGTAATAATTCGAATCCCACTGAGAGGTATGGAAACAGTTTCTCAGATGTTACGGTATGAACCAATGCTCATTTTGCTATAAATGCTAACACGAGCAAAAAAAATGAATCACAGTTTAGTGACCCTGAGTTTCGAATATTGGTCAAATGAAACAGTCTTCGACAGTTTGATTTACTTACCATTCGTGTAGCACTAGCCATTCCAGCTTTCATGGCCAGAGATGCTTGAACCAGTCTTCCATCATCTAGCAAAGCCGTTGCACATGAATTCACAAATGAAGATTTCCCGGAACCCGCTACTCCAATAAGTAGTAAGTTCATATACTTGACCGCTTTTGGAAGATTTGCGTCGATGTCGTATATCTTTTTCATATATTCTTCTCTAACCTAAAAAAATCTTTTGTGATCAATTTACTTAAGTATTTATGGTTTTAAAAAGTATTTAAACATTAAAATAAATCAAAAGAAATATTGATGTCTTCTGAACAATAAAGAAGGGTATAATAGAAATAATTTATTATCAATTATTACATTTTTACCCGTGAAATACTGTAATTTTTTCATTGAATAAAAATGATATCCTGTCACAGTGTGAAAGGATATCAAAATGATATCCTGTCACAGTGTGACGAATATCAAAAGTGCGGGAAAACTCTCGATTTCCTTTCTCATAACGAAGATTGCTGTAAAATATCTTCCTTGACATAATATAAGATAGATGGAAATAAATAAATCATTCTGACAGCGAATACAACTGTCAAAATTACCACAAATATGTTGTCAAATTCATGTTTACAGTGTTTTCACCTCACTTAGCTATGACGTCTCAACTGCTCAACTATGACGTCACGAGTCCATGAATGCATTACAAAAAAGACAGAGGCAAAGGAAAAATTAAAAAAAAAATGTAATAAATGGAAAATTCAATGTTTTGTAGTTGAATATGGAATTTATTTCACACGTGAGACAGGATTTCTTGATATTTGCACTCGTGCTTCGCACTCGTGAAAATATCAAAGATCCTGTCCCACTCGTGAAATAAATTCTATATTCAACTACAAAACATTGAATATCCTCTATTTATATTTTAAGTTATAGAGTAAAAAAGGAAAGGTTTAATAGAAATAATTTATATTCAATTGTTTTTAAAGTTATAGAATAAAAACAGTATTTAGTGATAATAAAAAGATAACACTGTTTGAGAGTATTCTATTCAGTTTAATACACACATGGCCTTGATCTACCCTGGGGTTTTAATCGCATTTTACAAGTCAGTTGTATGTTTACCGCCAGCATCAGTACTGCGAAACATCTGATACATATTGTCGAGTAAAATGTCCCAGGATAGTAAGCCATTCCTTTTCTAGCGCTGTCGCTAGTTCGAAGAGGCTATATGGCTGGGATCTGCGCACCCTAGCTCTCCTACCTCACTTAACCCAAACATATTAATTTGGGGAGAGATTCGGAGATTTGAGGGCCAAACTAGAACATATTCACGTTGTTTTACGTCAGGATTTCTTATCTCAAATCTTTTGTTATTCGAGCCGCGCTCTAAGAAAAGTTAACCATAGTAACTATATTTTACAGTAGTTAATTATAAAAATCCAACTGTCAAAATTTCCGCCAAAGTTTTTTAAAAGTGTCGAATTTTTCGATAAAATTTTTCAAAGTGTCAAAGTTTTCAATAAAGTTTTTTAAAGTGTTTAAGTTTTCGATAAAGTTTCTGAAAGTGTTAATGTTTTCGATAAAGTTTTTCAAATTATCAAAGTTTCTGATAAAGTTTTAAAAGTTTTAAAGATTTTAATAAAGAATTTGAAAGTGTCAAAATTTTGATAAAGTTTTTGAAAGTGTCAAAGTTTTCAATAAAGTTTTTGAATGTTTGAGTTTTCGATAAAGTTTTTTTTAAAGTTAAAAGTTTTTGATAAAGTTTTTCAAAGTGTCAAAGTCTTTTCGTAAATTTTTCAGAGTATCAAAGTTTTCGCCAAAGTTTTTCAAAGTGTCAAAGTTTTCGCCAAAGTTTTTTAAAGTGTCAAAGTTTTCGACAAGGTTTTCCAAAGTGTCAAATTTTTCGATTAAGTTTTTCAAAGTGTCAAAGTTTTCGATAAAGTTTTTCAAAGTGTCAGGTTTTCGATAAAGTTTTTCAAAGTGTCAAAGTTTTCATTATATAGTAAATCAAAGTTTTCAAAGTGTCAAAGCTTTCACTATAGTTAACTATAGTATTTTTTGTTAGGGTGTGTTTGTTGTTGCGTTGTCCTGAACTAATGCTAAGCCACGACTATTGATGCGTAGATACATAAGTACAAGACGAGAAAGAATTTCATATCTGTATCTTTAAGCTGTCAGCGTACCTTTCACTACAACAAATATTTTGCGGTTTCCACCAAAAGTACCTCACAAACCATGACACAATTGACGCCGAATCTATATACTACAATCAAACAGCAACCAGCAAAACCCTCCTCACGTTTCCTCCAGACACAAGTTCTTTTAAATGAAAAGGAGACTTATCACTGAAGACAGTCGTCAATGTGGCACATAGGTTTGTGTCTGCTCTAGATTCGCAATGTAAGGAGTTTATTGTTAAATTGCAGGTTCGAATCCTACTATTGAGATCGCTCCTTTGGATAATACCTTATTGCAGTAGATGCTGGCACAAAAAAGTTCCCTTACTACTCAATGCCATGAGTGCCGAGTATAGCATAATTTCAGCTTTCTACAGACAAGTAGTGGCATCTCCATATGAGTGAAAAATTTCGAAGAGGACGTTTAACAATATACAATCAATCAATCATTGAAGAGTACTCTGGACTAGTCTTGCAATCGAAAGCACAAATGATGATGTGCAAACTTCCTTCTTAATGTCTTGTGCCAATTTGTTAGTAATGTCCCTGTGTACAGTATACAGGCTTTAAAACCGCAATGCCTCAATCAGTTTCGCACTATATGAGAGCAAATCCTTCTTCATAAAACCTCTACAGAGATGGTTAATTGTCTTCGGAGTTGTTTCGCAACAGGGTTTTGAGACATGCCTGCTTACAGCCTCCCTTTGGAACGTTCATGTTTATTTTTATAAAATCGTTGCATTAAAAAAAAACAAAACAGAAAGCAAAAAAAAAAACAAAAAACAAAACAAAAAAAACCGCTGAAATTTAACCAAATTGTAGATTTATTCGAGGACTTAAGACAAGGGTATATGTTCTATGTCAAACTCTGTACAGTTACACGTGATATGATTTTCCTAAGCACCGTCTTTTATCAATAGAACATAAAATTAAAAAGGGTAAAGCTTGAATGATCAGGGCTTTTTTTCATCAGAATTGGCTGTTGGTTATGTCTCCTACATACATGTAAGACGTTTTGGCGTAAAGGTTTACGTTCAAACCAAAATAAAATAAATGCACATTTATTAAGATATATACCTTCTTTTTTGTTCAGAATATATGTTATTATTAAATATGTTCCTTGATTACCTTATCGTCGAAGGACTCTGCACGAGCTGCATTTATTTCTCGCCACATAGTTGTTCCTTTCTTTTTATCTAAGTATAAAAAACTAGATTATGATTTTAATTGTTACTTATAACAAATTATAAATTTATGCACATATGACACATTGTATATTTAAAAGAGAAATATGTTTTTTTAATTAAAAACTAATTTTGCCTACCCAAAACATGCACGATTGAAGCAACTTCATGAGTATTTTTTTTTTAACTTGTATGATCAATTTTCACAATTAAAAAAAAAATTGAATTGATGTGATTTAAAAACAAACCGCTATCTAAGTTGTTTTTTAGCTCCTGCTCCTTTTCGTCTAAAATTTGTTTTGTCCACTGGAAATCATTTAATTTCTTCTTAAACCTTTGAATTTCATTTTCAAGCACTGTTATAGCCTCTACTTCTTTCTTTATTTCAGAGTCTGGGTTTTAAAAAGAACAATATAAAAAAAAATCATGCCCAAAATATATATATTGTTGAAAAAAAGTTATTATGGTCAACCATTTAAAAACACATATAAAACATATGAGTCACCAGATTTGTGATACTAAAATTTCTCAAAGATTTTTTTTTACTATACCAGTTTCATATTTTACTGTTACCAAATAGAGAAAAACAATTAATTAGGTGTTACGGTTTTCTCTGTTACAATTAATCCGTTATCACTATCCTCACTGACTTAATTTTCAGGGACATGTATACATGTATGTATTTGATTGCTAAATCAGTGAAAAATAAAAAAAAATCGCACATATTCCCAGACCAAAAAAAAGTTCTAAAGCAATAATGCAACAACTTTAAACATTAAAGCTTGTTTAAAAAAATAGTTGCAATGGTGATCATGGCCCTTAAAATTACGATAATGGGCTGATATTGATGTTGATTTAAAAGATCCGTGTAACATAAAAATAGGGTATACATCAAGCAGTAATACTATGCAAAAGGATAATATTAAAAATTTGGAATTAGGATTGATGCTCTCATTATATTTTTGTGTAAAAGTTAGTTTTTTTCTTTTTAAAAAAGTGTACCGTGTAATGTAATGGTTAGAATTCAGCTCCAAAATTGCGGAGTAAGGAACTTAATTCTAACGTCGTGGGTTCTAATCCCAAACCGGTCCTTTAGATGGGATCGTTTAAACAGAGGTTCTGTGTCACAATACATGTTGGTACGAAAAATATCCCATAGTTCTCAACGGCCTGAAAGCTGAGTATACAACGAATTTGCAGCATTCCACCAGCAAGTGATGGTGTCTACATGTGAATTTCAATAGATCAAGAGGCTTGAGAGATAGAATTTAAACAAAATCAGAAAGTTTCAGTTCCGATCATCAATGTTCTACATTTATAGATACCGGATGTAAATGTTACTAAGGTCATTGCACATTTTAACCTGTTCTACTGTCCCATCCTTGTCAAGGCAGGAAAGCCAGGTAGATTACATTCTATGTCTTCCTTTGATTGGTCAGAACAATGCGTGATAAATCGTGGGTATCTGAGCCGTTGCCGTCAACCACGGGAAATCAAAGTACTGAAAGCACTCATGGGAGTTGAACATTGTGTAAAATAAAATCTTTGATCGAGAGGTTAAGAGAGTGAACAATATTATTATTTCAAATACAGACAACTGTTTCAGATTCTTTGAAATGCAACAATCTTGAAAAAGACATTCAGAGACATTAAATATAAAAAAAAATCATGGGCCGTAATGCTTGCCTGCCTACATTAGTCTTTTTTTATACTCACTGCTTTTTAAATATTGTGAAGAAAAGTGCAATACCAAGTTAAAAACAAGTATTTATTTACAAAACATAAAAACAGTGGTATATGTGAGAGTTTGTGTGCGTACAAATTATCTCATATGTAAATGAAGTTT